CGAATGTTCTTCACAGTATTGGCTGTTTAATACCCACACCGTTATCATGGTAGATTTCGGAGGTTAACTAGCATCTCTCTCTCTGACTCCCGTTCAATTTAAGTAAAGTTTCCTTGACTTTTTTAGGCATTTACATGAATTCGGATAAATTTACGTGAATTTTAGTGAATTCAGGTGAATTTTGAATTTACTTGAATTTAACGGACTAAATTCAGCTGTTTCCCTCTTGACATTTTGCCTAAAAACGGGACGAAAGAAAAGAAAAAAAGAAGAAAATAAAAAACAAAAATCCCTGCAAAAACACATAATGTCTGTCGACATAAATATTATCAAAGTTTTCTCTCTGAGCAGAAATGAGTTTAAAAACAAAATAATAGAATAAAAAGTCGTTGAGAATATCGTCTCTGTTTCAGTTGTGAAAATAGATGCAGAAATTCAATTTAAAAAGGTATTGAGTGAAAAGAAAACATACCATTTTTGCTTTTGTTTCACTTGCATTAGAATAATAAACAGAATGAGTGAGTTAAGGTGCCTGACTAATGTGCGTTTAAAAGAATAAAATATTCATTCGATTACAGTGAGTAAAAGGTATTTCATGTTTCAATTCCATACAGCACTGAGACATTTTTCTCATACAACGTCGATATTTTCTAACTGCGTTCATCATGACGCTGTTGTTTGTGTCACTGTTAGATTAAATTAGAGAAATTAGGAAAAATACGCAGTTGATTGCAATTAATATTTGTCCATGTCATATGAGTACGTCAACGTTGTTAATACTGTTTGGGGTGAATAATCACATATCAACTTGTCCTGTTCGCTCCTCACTGGAAGGATCGCTCTCAAACAGATTCAGGAGCCTCCAAATAAGAAGATTAAAAGCGAAAATTTGAGCGCTAATCTTGAAACTAAAGCAGTCATTTGATGCCTCTACTTGTTGCATAAGAAGGCATCCCTCATTAAGAACTTTGTAAACAACACCGGTCGGGATTTCGACATAATACGACATGCTTTTGGTAGAATTGTGCCACATTTCATCGGATTCCGGCGTCGGATCCTGTTGCATCTTTCAGGAACTTGTCTTTGGGATCATCGGCCTGGGTACTATTCAAACAATAGAGAAGATGCCTTGGTTGAAACGCTTTGTTTTCTGTTCCAGATGTATTTCGTTACACTTTTGCTATGTACTAAACTGCAAAAACAAGTGCCAGTTTCACTGATGAATAGAATGTAAACATAATCAGAGTTGGTCTTAAAAAGACGAACAAGTGTTTCTTCAATTACAGAATATTCTGCTACTTGTCTCGTGTTTTTCCTAGAGGACGTTTCTATAACCCATCAGTTCCAAACAGTCTAATAAATGGTAAGTCAGGCGATAAAAGGAGCTGATCAACCACGAGCTCAATGGTATTGGAAATCAAATTCTGATCCATGGTCAACAAGTGGAAATGAAGAATGGACAAAATATTCTGATATCGAATCAGCGATTATCGAAGAAGCATTTAATCAAAAGAATAAAACAAAACTAGCTGAACTGGATAATTATTCGATTAACTTAAATGATTCCATACAAATCAGTAAATTGGATCCAAATAAACAACGGCAAATAAAACGGGTTCTAACTAGTAGAAATGAAAGTCAAGGTTTAAGAGAAGAAAGATTCTTTCTCACACCAGAATTGAGTAAAACGTTCAATGATGACTGGGCAAAGAAGCTTATATTTTTCTTTCACAGTGGAAGAAAGACAAGGAACTTTCTGATGCTGAAATAGTAGAGCAGGCAGCGAATGGAATAGTTATCGAAGGAAAGCAACTAGGTAAACATTGTGAGTCACAATATCTACGTCGCCAAATAATAGCCGTGAAAAACAAAAAAGCAGAAGAAATTTACAAGTGTTGCATTCATCTATACACAATGGAATGCTTTCTATATAAACTAATAAACAAAGCACTAAGAGAAACCGACGCGAGCAAAATAAACACTTTGGGACCATTTTGCTACATTCTATTCAGAAGCTGGCTAAAAACCGATACAAAACCCGCAGCGACACTTTATCGAGGCGTAAACATCGATCAGAACACGCTAAAATCATATGTGGAAGCTACCGGCCAGAAGAGATGCTGGAACGGCTTTACCTCAACTAGCAAAAATCCACAAAAAGCCCAAACTTCGGCAACACCCTATTCATTATCGACGCGACCAAAATCGGCGGATTAGACATATCGCACCTTTCCGACTACGACGAAGAAGAAGTCATACTTCCTCCAGGAACAATATTTAAAATCGCAGCCATCGAGAAAACCACAACCAAAACCTACGTTTCTTTGAAACTATCGGATAACAATCATACTACACCCACATCAAATGTCCTTTCCCTAATCGCCAATTTCCCCCGTCAGATAAGCCTTGCTGTGACTAAAGTGAAATGTCATCCGCTGCCATGGAACATCTAGGACATACAGGAACAGTTTCGTTATGATGATCGTTATTGTGATGATGATGATGATCGTGATGATGATGATGATGATGATGATGATGATGATGATGATGATGATGATGATGATTATTTTGGTCGTGATCGTGGCGCTGATTGTTTGTGATTTTGGAGCCGTAACTTTTTTAATTTTTCTAGTGCATTTTTACAGATTCGACATCTGGAAATGCCTTATTAACTAACGCATTGAAACTTCTTACATTTTTTCGCAGGTTCAAATGCATGAAGAAGTTTTTTCTAATGTAGTTTTGGCCTAATGAGTTCAAGGGAGTTAATAATTAATTCATGTGAAGGCATTAATGCTTTTTCGGACTTTTAATTCGTTTGAACAGATGAAATGAATTGAAAAAACCTTTAACGACTTTGCATGCCTGAAAAATTAATGCATTTAGGAGCGTGAACTTTTTTTAATTTTTACTAATGTCTTAAAAGTTATAGCTTTTACGACATTGAGACGGAGTTAAATTTTTTTTATCGTTATTGGACAAATCGAAAGAAAGTCGTGCGTGATTTTAGATTTCTACGTTTCCAACAAATGTTTTGAAGTTTTCAAAGTGTGTGTCACGATCTCGTTTAAACGTGTGGAAACGTTTAGTTTTTTACTCAATAAATCTCGTTTTTTATTCAAGATACTAGCTTCTTGGATTCGAGTACACCAAAAAGTGCAAGTTTCCCGTTCAAGAAAGCTCTCTCTCGGAGGAAAACTAATCGGTTCTATGGATAAGTTATACGGATGCAGTATTTTCGTTCCTTTAATTCTTTCACACGGGCTCGGGTTCATTTAATGCGTTCACATGCATTAGAAATTAATGCATGTGAACACATTAACAATTATCAAAAACGGAATCGTACCCACATTCGATAGAGAAGCACTCTCAACTCTTTCTGATATCACCATTGGATTCCTCTCAAAAAGTTTGGTCTGGGATGACCCCTTCTACCCAAGCAGACATACTACATGGGCCTTAAGGACTCTACCGAACAGTTGAGCCTTCTGTTCATACAGTCATAGATGAATGCATTAAAATTCGTTAGAATTTAATGCGTTTTCGTGAATGAAAGAATTTTCATATGCTTTAATGCATAAAAGGTTTTAACGTACTCAAACGTGTTAGAACTGCTTAATTCATGCAAATCCCACAAGTTTTAACCAATTGAAACGCATTCAGAAATCGCAAGACGTTCACAGACCTCGAGCAGTTTTAATACACATAAACTCGTTAAAATTTCTTGCATTTACATGAATTCAGAAATGTTAATACGTTAAAATGCATTAAAAAGGCTTAATACATTCGAACGCCTTGAAAGCTAATGTCTTCAAACGCATTTGAACATACTAATACCTGTCAATGTCTTAAAAGTTTTTAAGTGCCTTAAAGTTCAATGCGTTCGCAAGAATTAAGAAATTTTAACGCGTTAAAGTACGTTAAAAGAGTTTTAACGCGTTGAAGAGCATTGAGTTTATCAGGCGTTAAAAGTAAGCATTATCCAAACGCGTTAAAAGCGTTAGTGGTTAATTTAATTTTAACGCAAGAAATGCCTTTAAAAAATTTAATATGAGACTAACACGCGTTTTTTCGCTAGGCTAATGCGCTAACTATCCATTTTAAGTCGTTTTAACGTATTAACGACTTTTCAATGCATGCGAACGTTTTCGTTTACTTTTGGTGTGCTAAATTTAAGGCGTGTGAAAGCATTAGAACTTTCTTTTTAAGTCAGTTAACGCATGTGAGTTTATTAATATTTAATGCTGTTAAATCGGTTAAAAAATAGCTAACGCGTGCAAAGGAAATTTTTCATATCAAAAAAATCCTCTGGGTGTGTCTGGATGTATGAATTGGGCATTAGTATCGATGAGTGTATTGGGTGCTGAAGAAGGGGCTTATTTGGAAGTGTTTATGTGAACAAACACTATGTGTTTTTGGTAGGGTTGTTGTTCTTATGTCGTCGGACATCATGCTGGGAATTTTGTTTTTTTCTCGGTGTTTTGTCCGTTTTCTGTTCGAAATGTGCACGTCAATATCTACAGATCTATGACAGCTAGAAAAGTTCTGAAAATGCTAGGATAAGTCCGACATTCGAAATCGATCAGTGGACATTTTTATGTCACCTAAAGGTCCAGATTCCATACCGTAAGCGCGAGAAGTGAAAGGAAAATGTATCTTGCACTCTGAAACTTTTTATACATTCAGTTGTCGGGTGCCGGTTGTTTTTGTAGAGAAATTTAATTGAAAGGCGAATGCGATTTTGTTAATAAGGGAATTTTCGCTTGCGAGAGAGTGAAAAGAAGAAAATTACGAAGAAAAGTATAAGAAATTTTGAACGAAAGGAGGATTTGTTAGTGAAAAGAATACGTAACGTTGAAGTTTAATTACAGTCATTGTTAATTGAGATTGTTGTGACTATTAAAGGAAAAGAAGAAACAGCAGAAGATAGATAAATTCACTAGCAGAAAGTGATATATCTCGCCTTTACGTATACCAGGAAAGTAGAACTAATGGCATCAACTTAGAATGTCAAGATTCCTGATTCGATTCTACTCTGGTCACACAGTTTTCCTTCATACGGAATCTAATAATACTAATAATGACATTTTACGAGCACCTGATCCAATAGAGTTTGAATTTGATTAAGGACAAAAATTGGCCCACACAATGCTCTCTTTTGAGTACTTTATCGATTGAATGACTTTAAAGCAAACATCATTATTAAAAATCAACACATTTGAGAGCAGTTTAAAATGTTTTAGGTTACCTTAGTTTTTGATAGTTTACATCTATCTAACTTTATATATATGTATCCAGTGTCAAGAGCGTAACACAAAATTTTTGTATAAAATAAACAAGTATCACCAGTTAAATTATGTGATTTAGTTTTCTTCGCCTTTAATAGGTATGTATATGCATTTGGATGTGGAACTATTTTCTGTTTTCAAGAAAATAGCTAAACTGAAACCATATTAATGCACCTTTTTTAAACTAATAAATGTTTTCAGCATACTTAATTTTCTCTATTACTAAACATTCTTA